GTCGGATTCTGATCCATATTTGAACTGCATTTGATTCCAATTCATCCTGTCTCTATGTTCTTAATTCTATTATTCTGTCGGATTCTGATCCATATTTGAACTGCATTTGATTCCAATTCATCCTGTCTATTTGTTCTTTATCCTATTATTCTGTCGGATTCTGATCCATATTTGAACTGCATTTGATTCCAATTCATCCTGTCTATTTGTTCTTTATCCTATTATTCTGTCGGATTCTGATCCATATTTGAACTGCATTTGATTCCAATTCATCCTGTCTATTTGTTCTTTATCTTATTATTCTCTCGGATTCCGATCCATATTTGAACTGCATTTGATCCCAGTTCATCATGTCTATATATTCTTTATCCCATCATTCAAATGATATTAAAGTAAAGAAGCTGTGAAGGGACACGGCATTAAAAAATTTCAAAGAACTACGACACGATTGCGTTGAAACAGTACTCTCACCGAAGTTCAGCTACATCGAATCTGGTCAGTACCAGTGAATATCCGGTGCTGTAAACTTGGATGTAATGAGCAAAGGAACTGGAAGTCAGAGAACCGAGGTTCGTTATATTCTCTTACTCGCAAAATTGGGAAATATATAACTCTATCTTTTCTCCCGTCGGCTATGTGTTAATTAGTAGGATTTGTATCAGTGAATGATTATTATTGCTAAAAATTCTTACAATCTGAAAAAAATATTTTTTGGCTTTAAACAATTTGCAAAAGATTTATAAGCCGTAAGACACACCCGAATCCCTCTGTTTGCTGTCTGTAAAGTCCTATAGAATTGTTACAGGTCCTATCTCCGTAACCGCGTTTGGGTGGTGTTCATAGCAATTTCTTTCAGTTTCCTTCCCGTAGAAGTTGCAGTTTTTCCTGTGCAGTTATTGGCCCACTCTGTCATGCCGGGTTTTATACTCAGCGGGTGCCAATATCGTGCAACCTGATACAAGATGATCAATCGTTTCTGGATATTTATCACAGAATCTGCATTTTGGGCTAGCACAATATTTTAGTATGTGTGCTTGATAATTTCTAGTTAACAAGCATTGATCCTGTGCAGCAAGAATAAAACCTTCCGTTTCAGCTTTTAACCCTGCACTACGTAGCTTCTGGTGGGTATGGGGTTTGGCTACATCAGCTTGTTTGGTATGGGCAGGGTATTGGCCATGAAGTGGTTTATCTTGCCATCGTTTCTGTATCAGATCGGTTGAATTTGGTTTTGCTTTCTTTTTTATGTATTTTGCAGCTTCAATCGGTGTATTGTACTTTACTTGTATTTCTGCGCCCATTTGAAACTCCATTTTGAATTTGTTGGCTTCCTTTATTGCGGAATGATGACGCTTACTACTTTCATGTTCTTTGACACATATCATCATTCAGTCTTACATTTAAGTATGCTGTATACCATCTCCTTCGCTAATTCCTGGGTACTTATAGGCTTCTTCTTGTTCCAGTTTCTTAATCTTTGTGACAAAGTCTAAATCTCTTGAGAGTGTTTCTGTAATTCTTCCTTTCTTGAAAGTTTACTTTTGCACATCTATCTAATCCGAAATTCATGCCTATGTCGTCACTGAAACATTTTACAACATTGAGGCGGGCCTTTAACTCATTGTCGTCTTTGACACAGAGGTTGAGATCATCCATGTAGAGTAGGTGATTGAATACATTTTTCTTTAGTTTGTAACCATAGCTACTGTTCCTTAGTTCATGTGTAAGGGGGATTAAGGACAAACATTATTATTATTATTACTACTATTATTATTATTATTATAGAGTAAGACCAAAAAGTGATGCTGAAGTCCAAAATATACATAGCCTAATATATTCATCATAACACCAAGTTTGCTAAATATGTACAAGGCACATGCATCACAGCCAGATGTGCACAAGATAGTATGTGTTTTTTATCATTTCAGCATAAGTAAGGCAATAAAGCCACTAAAACACGATGAGTTTCTGAGTATGAAAGAAAATGAGAAAAACAAAAACATTAAGGGGAGGGGACAATAGCAATGTCAATAAGAAAGCACATTCTGCCTTTGAGGTCTTTAATCATCAGCGTTTAGCTTTGAGTGTTCTGTTTATGTGTATTGTAAAGTCCCATGTGGTTGTTACATGTCCTATCTCTGTAGCCAGATCATTATTATTATTATTATTATCGTTAATGCCGTTCTCGCTTTCTCTCTCTCTCTATATATATATATATAATGTAATGAGAACGAAAATAATATGAAAATTCTAACATTCACAACATCATTTCAAAAAGGGCACAATACCGATAGTAGAGCAATAATTATTTATTATAATTTTTTTCATATAGACCAAAACAATTTACTCACTACAAAGATGCAACTTCGTTCCGGTGCATTTAGTTGCACCTCGACTGGTAAGAACCAAAATGGTTATGACCAATTCTGTTTGTAAGCAAACCGCACGTGGAACGTCACTTCCTTTTTTTCTATTTGTTTGGAAAAAAACATTTAAGAGGAGACATATAATGATAAAGAAAAGATAGGAAAGACAAAAGGGTGACAGATTGAAACAACAGTTCTTGTTGATAGCAGTTTGGTGAAGGATTGTTAAGGTGATGGCTCTCACCATTTTGGTTCTCACGAGTCGAGGTGCAACTAAATGCACCGAAACGAAGTTGCATCTTTGTAGTGAGTAAATTGTTTTGGTCTATATGAAAAAATTATAAATAAATATATATAAATAAATAAATATATATATATATATATATATATATATATATATATATGTGTGTGTGTGTGTGTGTGTGTGTATCTGTCTGTCTGTCTGTGTGTGCTTTATTCTATGATCGTTTCTTGCTGAAATGCTTTACAAGATTTAATTATTATTTTTCCTCTTGTTCGTATGGTTATTGCTACTATTTTTTCCTATTGTTTTTTGAACAGTTTTTCATCTTAATCATCAGCATGATTTTTATAAAAGCCATTACCATTGTCGTGATTGTTCTGTGTTTTGTTACTTGATTAATTAGTTATATTTTGTGAAAATCCACAGCAACGACAGCAAAAAGGAGTAAAATAAATCCAAGATTTCTGTAAGCGGACATTTTTTTTAAATGTATAGCTGGCCAGCTAAAACAACTTTAAAGATATTACACATACACACTTCTAATAATTCTTCATTTTCGTTTCAGACGCTTGCCATTGCTACCAATGCTCGATACTGGCAGATCTATGATTCCTGAAGCTACTTTAACATCTCTCCCCGGAAGGAAATATTCCCACAAGGATACGTTCTGCACAGACATTCACGCCCATTCATTTCGGTCACTGGCTGCGTGATTGACTGCAAAGCGCAGTTCAGCTCATTTCGTTGCTAATTACGTACTATGTTTAGTCGCGCAACGCTATTCTGTTTAACAAGGTTGTGCTGCGGCGCCCAAGTAGTAGCAGTTGTAGTACTAGTTTGCTTATCGTGTTCACTATTAGCTAACACAATGCCATATCAATTGACGCTTTTAATTCCCGAAGCCGAAGGAAAGTCCTCCAGTATTTAAAAAATAGCAAAAAAGAAACAACCGCTCAGGAATACACTTATATATTTATATATATATATATATATATATATATATATATATATATATATATATATATATATATATATATATATATATATTATAAAAAACTGAAGAAATAATAAAACACGTGTACAAGCAATATATTCATCTGTAAAGTACTATATTTGAATGCGTGAACACAAGATATATTCATAAACATTCATAGTAAGGGAATGCAAAACCTCGTTTTGAATAAATCAGCACTGGCCAATCACAATGCAACAATGTTTTTTTGAACCCAGATTGGATAATTATCTACAAAAATCAAACTGTATAGCTAAAATCAAACACGAACTTACTCACTGAAAATGAACTATATTCAATGGCTGTTTTTAAAAGCGATCACCTCCTACGTCACCCATGCTTATTTTTAAAAGCTGTTTTTCCGCAAGAAAGCTATCTCCATAGAAAAGGTTTTGACGCAACTCAAAATCACCCTTCGCTTATACAAATTTTAGAGCAATGCAAATGACCTTCGATTCAATCAGTTTTATCATGGTTATTATTTCAGGACGATATTCTTTAAGAAGAGCCCGAAGAGTCCATAAAAGAGGATAGAGGAATTGTTCTACATAAATTACAGTTTATACCTCATCGATGTACCAAAATAATTCATCTCAGGAATTGCATCCATGATAAAGAAACAAACGTACAAGCATTAAAACCAGAGATCCGTGCAAGCTTCCAACTCAAAACCTTTCTACAATAAAATGGTTCTCTCACGCCACCAATATTTCCTAAATTAAAAAATATATACAAACATATAAATGAAATTTTAAGAGCAGGTATTTAATGATACGCTTAAAAGAGCCGATACATTGAGGAGGAAAGAAAAGTCCAATCTTGGATTTTTGGTTCAAATATTGTAATCACACCTAACGAAGTAATCTCACGTTTCAACTCGTTTTTGTTTCTTTTAGGAACAAATGGTTTTCTGTTAGCTTACCTTGTCCTTAAATGTCGCTTAATTCGAACACTGTACATGACACTTATCAATACACCGTACAGGTAAACATTTTTATATTCCAAGCAGCAAACAGTCCCAAGTTTCCGTGAAGTATTGAAAACGTACATAAACACGCAGATGTGTATACAAGACATTTGGTCAACAATTTCCGTTTCACTATCTTACCGTTAATGAATGTATAAAAATTTGTATTCGAATTCTTTAACAATTAGATTGCTTCTTTTTTTTTTTACTGATTCGCTGTGAACAGACGTCTTGAATAGAAAAGTAAAAAAAAATTGAGCTTTTCTTCCAGCGTCAATTGCTGCCGATATAACGAGCTTTAATTCTGTGAATTAGTGATAGATTGTCTATATTTTATTTAAAAATTTTTTTAATTACTCAAAAACAAGGATTCCGATCTTTGGGAATAGACACCGACTAGTGTAATCCTTCATGCTGAATTTCACGGAAGCTTACAATGAAACAGAAAGTAGTACCTTTGATTATGATGCTTTTTACAACGATTCAACCGTTGATACACCGCAACTCTCCTACGAGTTGAAGCACCCGAGTATTGGAATTTTGCTCTCTGTTTTTTCCTTCATCACCATCGTCGGCAACATTCTTGTTATCGTAGCTGTTAGTCGAGAGCTCTACCTACGGACGGTTACCAATTATTTTATCGTTTCGCTGGCTGTTGCTGATCTGATGGTGGGTGGCATTGTAATGCCGTTTAGTATCAGCCACGAAATGACCAACAACTTCTGGCTTTACGGCCCGGCATGGTGCGACTTGTGGCACTCGTTCGACGTGCTTGCCAGTACAGCCTCTATTATGAACCTCTGTGTTATTTCTCTTGACCGCTACTGGGCGATCAACGACCCGATTACCTATCCGGTTAAAATGTCAAACAGCAAAGTGAGCATCCTCATCACGGGAGTTTGGGTGTGCTCAGCTGGAATCTCCTTTCCGGCCATCGCCTGGTGGCGATCCGTTACCCCGCAGGATTTACCCAGTCACGAGTGTCTGTTCACAGAAGACACCGGTTACTTGATATTCTCCTCGTTTGTATCATTCTATTGTCCCTTGATAATCATGCTCTTCTTTTACTACAAAATTTACAAAGCTGCTGTGGCACAGACCAGAAGTATCAAGATGGGGTGCAAAGTGATGATGTGTAGCAACATGGACGGTGAAGTGATGACCTTACGAATGCATCGCGGCGGCCCGAAGCGGGTCCCGCATGATTCGGAAGGAGGACATGAACGAAATGCCGACAGTGACACCGGAAGTCCAGCTCGTTTGGTCAATGCACAGACCGTCGAGAGACCGACCAAATGTATCACAAAGCGCCTTAGACATTTACAAATTAGTAAAAAGCTGAGTAAAATCGCCAAAGAACAGAAAGCGGCGAAAACACTCGGCATTGTAGTGGGCGTGTTTATTCTCTGTTGGCTTCCATTCTTCATAACTAACCTCTTGTTTGCCATGTGCAAACACTGCGTTTTTTATCCGAACATACTCTTTCCTGTATTTACTTGGTTCGGTTATCTTAATTCCGGGATGAATCCCATTATTTATGCTCTCTCAATGCGGGATTTTAGGCGCGCTTTTTCCAAAATTCTTTTCATGTGCTGTCCAAAATATGGTATGATTCGCAGACAGAATCCATACGACAATGCCATCAAAACAAGTTTTTCGGGTAATACAGTTGATCGTTGTGTACAGTTCAGAATGTAATGCTTACAACAACAATTGACCTCATTAAATTAAATATATTGGCGATGATCGCTCAAATTTAAAAAAAAAATTTTTTAAATTGACTCTTATTGCTGTTCAAAGTAACAACAATAAAAGAATTCATTAAAAAAATAAATTGAAAATCTCCAGACAAAAGGGAGCAGTGTGATAACAATGTTCAAATGCGATATTAATCGTTTTCCGATTTTTCTGGTAACATTCAGGGTAAATTCCATTTGAATACTTTTGTCATGCTGTATGAGTTAGTGTGGCTCAAATAACGAAAAGAGCCGATACGATAGTGTTGGGAAAAGCTGGTAAGTTTCTAAAGCACGCTTGGTTAATCCTATGTCTTTGTAGCAATTCTATTGGCAGAAGATATTTTTTTCCAACTAGACACGAAATAAACATCGCCGAATTCGGATGAATCCAGTTTACCACAGACTTTATATGGAAAATAAAAATGGTGTTCACCAATGGAAGAACATTCTACAAGAGATTTCGTTAGATTCAGCTGAGTGTTCTTCCTAAATCGTTCTGCGAAAAGTTCCATTTCTACGAGTAACTTCGTTTCCCTTGACGCCGTCTTTACTTGGAACTTTCGAGGAACGGAATTGAAAAAAAAACGACTGTTGCAAATCCATCATTTCTAAATAAAACAGCTTATACGAATGGTGTATATGAAAACTTATGTAACTGTATATGCACGTACTAATTATATATATATATATATATATATATATATATATATATATATATATATATATATATATATATATATATATATATATATAAACTATTCTATGTACAATTTCATTATAAGGATATCAATCGTTTCAAAATAAATAATAAATTCTGTGTACATATATATGTGTGCACAATAATATATATATAAGATCATACAAATAAGTATAAATATATGAGTCTACGCATGCATATAAAAGCCTGTATACATATTTACGCGCATACGTATATATATATAAATATATATATATATATATATATTATGCATATTAAATATATATGTGTATAAGGATGTGGATATATTTTGTGTATATATTATTACATATATATATATATATATATATATATATATATATATATATATATATATATATATATATATATAAATATATATATATATATATATATATATATATATATATATATATATATATATATATATATATATATATATATGCCAATCTGACTATTTTCGTTATACAAAAGTTGAATGCGATTCAAAATTCAGTCATCTAATATATTAATCTACGCACGGCACTTTACATCTAAGTCAAAAAGAAAATTAGTGTTTGCTTGTGAAAGTTCTTTTTTTATGCCTGGTTTTCAGTTCTGAACTAAAAGATCACAAAGAACCCCATTCGATATAAATGACTGAAAGTCTGTTCATAAAAACGTTTTTTGTTTTGTCCAGGTTAACATAAAAACAAATTTTCAACAATAAGGCTTCTTTCTTTTTTTCTTTTTTTTTTTTTAAATATTACTGAGTAAAGCTGACATGATGTAGACTTCAAAATAAGTCAAGCATATAGCTTCATCTATTCATGATTATCTGATTAAATTAAACAAAACTTACCACATGTAAAAAAAAAAAAACTTGTCTTCGTTTTCTTACTTATATTATTCCTTTCAGCTTACTTCACTTGTCTGTTTTACAAACGAAGTCATTTTGCACCATCCAAGACAACAATGAAGAGTGTGATCATCATTCAAAATCTTTCCAACGTTTTCTTTGAAAGTGGCTCAGTATAAATTTTGTTGTATATTTGATCAATGAAGAACTTGTCTATAAGTTTTATACAGTTGTAAAGGAAGTGAGGGTAACTGTATATTGGTCATCTTTACAAAAAACCTTTTAAAAATATTTAAAACAAAACCTATCGGACAACATAAACAAGGCTTTATGTCACAACTCCAACAAAAACTATCAAATTAACATTACATCATAAAGAAAAAACTTTCTGCTTATTTTCTCCATTCATCATGATTTGTAAATATCAATGGCTTCACCTAGCGGTTAGGTGTCTGGACAGACAGAAGAGGGTGGGTCCATGTTGTTTTGTTAGTGTATAACTATCAGTGTTTGACGTTATATGTAAGTTCACAATGGGCGTAACGTAATAAACCAACTTTAAAAGAAATTGCCGTTGGTTAAAGTTCACATTTTTAATTCAAATTCGTAAAGACAAATAATGTTCTGAACATTTTTGCACTTCAAATATAAACGAGATAAAGAGCATCAAATTAAACATTTATCAGACACTAGCCGAGGTACCCGGTGTTGCACCGGCGTACATGGCTACAATTGTATAACCGTACCCCACTATAAACTCGTACCCTCTTGTCTTGAAATGTCTGCCTGCGTCGCCGCTTGCATGCATCATCCATTGGTATACTAAGCTACTTCCCCTCATCTCTTTACGGTATGTCCTTCGCAAGTGTTTGATTGTACTTAATAAAGTAATTCCATCGATAAAACCTCCTTGTGTGGTAGTTGCTCGGGGTTAAAATGTTTCAATGTTTTAGATATTCAATTAATTTCCTATGATCGTAATAACTTTCAAATAGTAGGACATTGTTCACAAATCTAATAATCAAACAAAAGCAGGGATGAAGCTTCAGCGTTTGATTCAACTTCAATTGCAAACGCCTGAACACCCCCATTCCTTCTTCGCACCTTTATTGTAAAGCTGGTGTTAATAAGAGGTTCTTCGGGAATTTTTTCCCTTTTAACGCTTCAATAATTCTTCTCAAACAATCTTTGCTTCAAATGCCAATTTAGGATTGAATCATACGAAGAAACTATTGGCTAAATAGCAAAAGCCGATTTTGGGCCAAGCTTGTAAGAGATTTCGTCCACTTAACTGAAAAAATCTAAACCAAAAATTCACGTAAGAAAATTTTATGTCATATGTAATTTACATGGCAAATTTGGAAAACATCGGATGAAAAACAAAGGAGTTATGCCCGAAAAACAGCCTTTTTGTACAGTTTTTCGTTGTTTTTCTTTATACGCGGTGAAGCGAGCAGAACTAAAACCACACTATCTTATTTCTTGAATGATGGCAATTTTTGGCGACATGTTTGAAGAAAATCAGATAAAAATTGAGGAAGTTATTTAAGTTTTTATTTTAAGTAGGACGAAAAACACGATTTTTTCACAGTTTTTTTATTTTTTGTATTTTTTTTTTGTGTGTGTGAAGCCAGTGTTGCAGGAAAATTATCAAGCACTCTATATGCTGTGTTTTGTATTAAGTGCAAAGAACATCAGCTCATCCAGTAAACATTTTGTTCGCGTGTAACTTTACCTTTGTTTTTGCAAAAGGTCGTACCCACCTTCAGTTTTATCGATATTTCTGCCAAATCTGGGAAACCTAGAGATTGAAAAGTTAGTATTGACCTACCTTGGTAAATTTGAAAGATGTGTAAACAATTTCATCGAAATCGGTCGAGAAAGGTGGACGTGCATAAATAGCATAGACAGACACACAGATAGATATCTTCTTCACATTTTTATTTCCTATGTAAAATCTATGTCTATAATGATATAGATTTTACATGGAAAATAAAAATGGGAATCAAGAGTGAAAGTGCTTTCTACAAGGTATTTGGTAATATTCGTGGATACAAAATATATACATTCTGGACATAGACTTTTCACATTATTTCTTACTGTTGATTAAGATGCTTAAAAATTTAACTCATTGTTGTCACTTCGAATATTTCCAGATTACTGAAGAATTCCGAGGAAAATTTATCAGTTTTTATCGTTGGCACCAATCGAATCGACAACGACTGTAAAAACATCACTTCTCCAAATTTATAAAGAAATTGTGCAGATTCTAGGATTTCTTCCTAGCCAGTAATGTAGATCACTTCTCGGTCTCGTCCGCCATATTTCTGTTCTTTCGTAGCTTGAATTCAAAACACTGTGATCACTTGTCTGTATCCCTTTTGCTTGTTAACGCTATTTTTAGTTAGTGAACCTTTTCTGCCTCATTACTGTTGTTTTAACTACTTTTGTTCTTGCATATATTGTTTGCTTCGTATTAATTTTGCCTTCTCATCTTTTTTTGTGATTGTCTTTTGATGAACATTTCTGCCAACTACATTTAACCATGGCCACTTACAGTACATTTACAGAAACTTGGTAGATCAAAAGGGTGTCTAAGTCGGCGATTAGTTGACTGGTCAACTGCGTTCAAGTTATTCATTAGTCAGAAAATATATGTTAAATTTCAATTGTTTGTGTGCTATGATTATTTTTTTCCATAGATGTCAGCCTACAGTAAATATAGTTTTAACAAAAAGGTCCCTCAAAAGTGTTAACAAAATATACATTTAATATATCCGGAAGGTATCACTGTCGAAAGAAGGTGAAAAAAATCAACACTGATAAAATCGAACGTTCAAGAGCCTATCGGATTCTTTAAATTTTACTCGATATTTTTCGGGATTTTCAACTTGGTAAGTGTTTTGGTTATAACACTCACTGGATTTTTTTTTAAATGACGTCAAAACACGTAATAAACATTTCCCTACCAACACTTTCCGTTTTCCTTAAGACTCTTTTCTCATACGATTATAAATAAACAAAACTTCAATAAGGATAAAATTGTCAACGTGTCCAAATCTGAATTTTGTCTGCTGAGGCCAAATCTCTGAAGTGTTAACTATATCGAGCTGGGTACTTGTCTAAACCTTTTCTCAAACCCATTAAAGATGAGTTACATTATTTAAAATCGAACATCTTTTTTCTTTCTTTTTTTTTTTTTTTGTTAATTTCGGCGGCAGATGTGTCTCTCGATCCTTCAAGGAATTTCGAACAATCCTTTATTCAATCTACAGGGCGATATTGTTCGCCTGTTGCTGTCCATTTCTAGGGGAGATAACTCATCTTGGTTAATTTAATTTTCGTACTACTCAATCCCCGTTTCCAATGAATGTGCGCGTGGAATTGAACTCGCGCTTTCTATTCC